GTACTTTAATTTTTACGAGTGTGGTGGTATGCGTGTGAGTGTATTTATGTTCGTCCGTTCCAATAAAAACGAACGAAAACAGATATCCGGAAAATTCGATGAGGGTGAAACGAGGCTTCGAATCCGGGACTTTTCTTTTTCTATTTTTTTATTTATCTCTCTCTCTCTCTCTCTCTCTCTCTCTCTCTCTCTCTCTCTCTATTTTTACTATGATGAATTTTTCATTTTCTCCGTGATGTTTCCTTATTTTTACAATTAAATCGATAATATGATTAATCGTTTGAAATACTTTTCTGTTCTTCCCATTTCTCTAATTTGTTTGATACAAAAGTATGTAATTTTATTTTATTTGAAATTTTGTAGATAAGCGACAAGGATACCTCGTAATCACCTAATTCATCGTTTATTCATCGCACTCATAATTAGCGTTTTTTTAACAAGATATATTTAATCATATGCGAGTCACGTTAGACCAGCAGCGGTCCACATTCTTTCATTTTTTCTTTCTTTCTATGTTTCATATATCACTCTTTCTCTCTCCCTCTCCCTCTCTCTCTCGCTCCCCCTGTCTCTCGCTTATCACTTTCAATATTCTATCGAAACAGCGACGGCCCACTTATATTTAATTAAACCGTTATTAGAATAATAATATATGTTTAGTTTGTACTATATATGATCTTTTAAAAGATGACCGATTTCTCGGTCACTTTTTTCTCTTTTTATTCTTCTTCTTCTTCTTTTTGTTTGTTTGTTTTTTTTTTTTATTTATATTCTTTCTCTCTCTTTCTTTCTTTCTTTTAAAATTCATGCCAAAATTCATACAATCATTCGCTCTCTTCTCATTTTTCCCCATTTCTTTCAACAAATTTCTAATTACGACTTAATCACGATAATATTTTTTTGGAATATCTTTAAAATTAATTGAAATACTATTTAATTCAATATTATTCCATCAAGCATAAATAAGGCAACTTTGTTACAAGCATAACAACAACACATATATCACTATCTAAAGACAATTGTATAATGTAAATAAATGATTATTACAATAGACGAAAAATGATTAGAAAGTTTTAGAAAAATTCTTTCTTTTGTCAATCATTAAAACACATTAATATCACAAACCTTGAAATACAAAGGAATGAGATTTAAGATCTCTAATGAACCAACTAAAAAGCAACCAAATAAAATATTTAAATAAGGGCGAGAAACAGTTTCGTCAATTTTGTTCTGATTAAAATAAAAAATAAATAAGAACGTTCACTCTTCTATCTTCACCGAATCACCGAAACTAAATAATGTGTTCTCTTTCTCTCCCTCTTTCTCTTTCTCTTTCTCTCTCTCTCTCTCACACAAAATGCACACGCACAAACGCGCAATCTTTAATTATGTATCTCTATCTCTTTCCATTTATTTCTTTGATCGCATAGAGCCGACGAGCGACGTTCGAATGAAAATACAAAATGCTAATATCTAAAAATCTAACCCCGATTAGACATCTCTCATCAGCTTATTTGCTTTCCTTTGAAATTCTCGAAAGTCGTTCGCGAGCTTGTCGTTTTTACAACGAATAATACATTTTTAAGTTAACAAATTCATTCGTCCCTGTGTGTGTGTGTGTTCTTTCTTTTTCAAAAGTATGTATAACAAGATGTGCACAGCACGATTTTAATAAATACGATATCGAATGCAGTTTTCTAAACTTTCCTTCTTTCGCTCGTTCGCTCTTTATAAATATACCATACGTATACGCATATGTATACGTATTTGTATTAATCTCGTCTTTCTTTCACCCAGGTCCACAAGTATACAAGAACGTTTCTTTTCTTTTTCTCTCTTTTTCTCTCTTTTTCTCTCTTTTTCTCATTCATGATTAAATTCGCATACACGACACGCTGTGTTCGGGCATTTGCTTTTTAAAAATTGCTCTCGATTACTATTACACACATTCTCTCACAATCGTTTGCGCGGAAACTCTCGTCCACTCCGATATATACGTGTTGGTATTTTTTGTTTGTTTGTTTTTTTTTTTTTTACACACATACATACATGCATACGTACATATATACATACATACGTGCTATCATACATACATAGAGATTTACATACGTACGTACATAGATATATATATCACTTGGCACGTGCATCACACGATGCCACTTTGAAATTGGTTTACGTTAGATCTGACCAACGAGGATACACGACGAGTCATGGTAATGGAATCTAATTAAACATTACAGTCTTCCATCGCCATATTCTTCCCACCATATTTTTTATATTTCATTACGTTTGTTCCTTTTTTATTTTTTTTATTTTTATCTTCTTCGTCATCGTTTAACTCTACTCTCGTCTATCGATAGCAATCATCTTTATCGTCTAATCTATCATCCAAATTTCTTTTTCTTTTCTTCTTCTTCCTCTTCTTCTTCTGCAATATGAAATCAATGTTTTAACAGAGATTTCCACGATCAAGTCAAAGTTTATGTATATCATAGAATACCCTTTTCCTCGTCTCCTACGAGCCGCTTGATTATTATCCTTAGTGTTTACTGTTATTTATTCTTAATTATTATTTATATTATTATTACTATTATTATTTATTATTTATTATTATTATTATTACTATTATTTATTATGTTATATCATTATTATTACTATTATTATTATTATAATTATTATTATTATAATTATTATTATAATTATTATTCTTATTAATATTAATATTATTTTATTTTATTTTATTATTAAAATAGCAAATCGATATCATCGTAAAAATGTTCGCTTTCTTTCACGCGAAAGGCGACTAGTTTCTATATTTAAAAATCGAGAAGACGCTTTGACTTGTCGGGAAGTCTCTCTCTCTCTCTCTCTCTCTCTCTCTCTTTCTCTTTCTTTCTCTTTTTCTTTCTCTCTTTTTACTTTTTTCTATTAGACAACAAAATGTACACATATACATGTACACGCATACACACAATAAGGATTGCGATCATCCGAAAATTTTGACTAGAAAAAGGAAGATGGTTGATTCCATCGAAAGGATTTCGCAATTTCTTCCTTGAGCGTAAATGTGTATGCGTATATTATCATGTGTATGTGTCACATCTACGAAGGAATGTATATATTAGACTAGAACCGTTAAAGAAGGAACTTACGTACATTCTAATATGGCAAACTATGGCACGTGATTGGAAAACTCAAGTTAGAGAGAGAAATGTAGAAAAAAAAAAAAAAAACACCTTTCGAACGATTCCTCCTCGACTTATGAAACGAATTTCAACCAAATATTTCGAGGTAATTAATAAAAATCGATCCGATCATTATATGTGCCCATAATTATGGAAATGGTCTAAATCATATATGTCTTGTTTCGAAATATTTCAGGAATTACATTTGAATGCTATATGAATATTAAAATATTGAACAATTCATTTTTGACAATATCGTGAAAGTGACATTGAATTAATTTAGTTTAAAATAATGTGACACGAAATAACTGGTAAAATGATTTTTTTTTTTTTTTTTGAAATTTTAAACCACTCTCATAATTATGAACAACATATCTTTCAAATTGATTAGAAATAAAATTCGAGGTGAGATCCTTCGAGTCAAATTTCGCAAAGACGAGAGCAGATCGTCCTTTATATTATTTTGTTATCTTCGTAATATTTTTCGACGTACAAACGATGACGTTGAAATGATAAAACAACCCCTAACACGAGCATTTATTTTTGAAAATTTATTCTATTTTTTGTTTCCTCTATTTTTCTTCCTTTCTTCATTTTCTTTTTTTCTACTTTCTCGAATCGACCGTTTCTATTTTTTTTTTTCTCCGACATTTTCGTCAAAAAACATTTTCTCTGAAAAAATATATAGTTTTTATTTCTCTACCTAGAATAAAAGAAAATTGACGAGAAGAAAACTAGGCAAATATAAACAAAAAAAAACAAGTTGAATAGTAACGAAAAAGAAATGCATACATATGTAGGTATGCACACTAGTCATTAAAAAATTTCAAACATGACTGTATCTTTCGAAAGCTACCATTGCTGTTACTGATGTTGCTGCTTGCTAAAGTATCACGAACATAAGATAATGGCTGCCTCGGCATTGGTAGAAGCTTATACGTTGTATATGACGCACGACCTTCTATATATATATATATATATATATATATAATACTTCCCTAGCACGGTCGTGGTTCTCTTTGACATAGATGGAGTTTCAAACAGAAGATGAGAACGTAAAAGCTTGAAATTTTCAATCCAAAATCAGTCATAAGAAACTTGACAAATAATCGTAGCAATTATTTCGGTCGAATCGAGAAATACGACTTGGTTCGATAAATTGATACATTTGTACGTAGAATGATTCACGAATTAAGGTCATTCATTTGCGTAACGATCACTTGTGAGGTCGCGTTAAATAATGACGTATAAGTTCATTTAATGGTCCATACATTAGTTGCTCATATTCCCGCATTTAATGATTCTCTTGGATTATGCTTGCCAAACGTTACGAGTGTATATATTGTCCAATATTTATTTCTTATTGTTAGTTAAAAAGTTGAAGATCATTCGAAGGATCGTATCCCAAATAAATGAGCTTTTGTTAGTGAATTACCCTGTATATATGTATAGCCCATTTGAAGAAAATCTTTGGATAGAAATAGAAAAAGGCGTTTTAAATGCATTATAAAATATAAATTTGGATAAATTGGAGCATATTCGATATTTATTTGGGCACGGGTGGTATCGATTTATCAAAGTTAGTTCGTATTAGAAAGGATAGAGAAAAGAGGTGTTGGTTGTTGTCGTTCGGTGGGAAGAGAAGAAAGGAGGAGAAGGAGACCCTTACGAGAAGGGTAAGTCCTCCTCCGGTGACTCGTCGTGGTACTCCTCGTGGTCGGACGTGTGTCACAAAACGTCGCTTGGCTGTCGCTGTCCGATACCTATTGTTGGCGATAGCTGTCCCTCCTCGACCGCCACGGTCTTCGGATCCTCGTCTTTCCACTTGTCCATGGAACGCCGTCGAGCGTTCATGAAGAAATTACCGACCGTCGTCGGTTCAAGGCCCAACTGTCGCGCGATTGTCACCTGCATCTCCTTCGACGGCCTCTTCGTCTCCTACGAACACAGTCCAATTTATTTCTTTTTTTTTTTCTTTTTTTATATATAACATATAGTATTTCATTAACAATTAATCCCGAGAGACCACGAGTTTTTGTTTTAATACGGTTGCCAGGAGCCATTTCTTTTTGTTTCATTATATTTTCAATTGTACAATAGCAAATTTTGGGTTGATCACATGTATTCAAAACTACGGAACATCTTCAAGATCAGTTAAGAAGTTACAGTCAAATTCCTTTTTTTTTTTTTCTCCGAATCACACGAATTATTTATCAATAACTGTATCATTTAACGCTGTATTCGCTCTTTTGCTTTGAATAATACATATAGAGGATAGTTTAAAATAACTAACATCATACGAGCCATTTCCTTTTATTACTTTATCATATTTTCACCTATTATTTAATAATCATAATAATCTTTATTTTAAAATATACTAACAAGTAATAATTATGAAAAAATTGAAGAAAGAGGGTTAGAAGGAATAGAAACGTTAAGGAAATGAAAGACTTTCTTATATAAAAAAGATTTATAAAATATTTAAATTCGTTAATTAATCTTGTGACCTAGATACTAATATCGGTTGCCCTTAAAACCTCGATTAAGCTCGAAAACTCATTAATTAATATGATCGTTTCGTGGTATTATTGCTTCGTTTTTCTATGGGTTATAAACCCGTTGTAAGAAAAATGAAAAATAAGTTTGTCTTATAAATGTAATTTAATTATTAAATAAATATGATATTGTGTTGTTATGGATTTGTACGTTTTAATCAACACTTGGCGCGTTACTATTATTATTCGAACGTTGTATTATCGACAGGTTCGAAATTTTACCTAGACACGAATTTCAAAAGAAAGAGAGAGAGAGAGAGAGAGAGAAAGACATAGTATAGACAAAAAATTACACCGTAGGAAAGAAAAATCCTTTGAGAGGAGTAACATTTAAATTGAATTTCGTAAATTTGATTTTAAGTAAAACGCATTACTAGCCACTACGACGAAAATTTTTCATTGAGTTTAAGGTAATCTGTGTTAGAGAAACTCATACTATTGCAACTTGTAAACGAAGAGACACTAAAGCACGTTTCCTTTTTAACACGACGTTTCTTATTCAACGTGTGTTCTAGAGCCTGACGATCAATAAAATGGACGCGGTTGTTACGCCAAAGTGTATAGGTGTATATACACACATACATATACATATATATATATATATATATATATCGATCGTAGGACAAACGTAACGATTATTATCGCGAATCAATGATGCTACCTCGGATTCGCATAACAAGATCCATCGCTTTGACGTTTTTCACGATTTACATGTTTTATTTATCCTTCCTACCATATTTAGATAATTTCATTGGAACTTAAGAACGACACGTAGAATTATCGAGAGAAACAAATTATTATGTTTTTACACAATTAAATGTGTTAGTGTTAACATTTATCATCATCATCCTTATTGCATTTTCCATATCAACGTTCTCTCAATAACCCTTGATATATTTTTCAAAAAAAAAATAGAAAAAAAAAGAAAAAAGAAAAGAAATCGAAAGCTAACACAGAAATGGACACATCGATGGTAAATCTATATCCCCACCCCCCACCCCTATACATATAGAAAAGTAAATTCTTTCTTTCGATCAACGATAGAACTTGTTACTATTCGCCGAGGGCATACTTATCCATATTCAAATTTACTCCTGTTCTCTAATTACATTTCGTAATTTCTCGTTCGTTGAACTTCGTTTAAGTGAAGTAAGGGGAATATTGATATCCTGTCTGGCCGTTCGCCGTGTTCGTTGGTGGAGCGTGAGTTAGCGATACACAACGAAACGAAGATGTCGTCTCTGACTCGACGCCGTGCCAACCCTCTTTTTCCACCCTCTCTCTGTCTTTCTCTTTCTCTTTCTCTTTCTCTCACTCTCATGGTATAGAACGGCGCATCAATTGTTGGAAATACGGGACACTATCAGGGAGAACATCGTGATTATTCCATGACAGCCACTGTCCTCTCAGCTTCTATACATCTACACATTCTATCACTGCACACACCTTTATACATATATATGTTTAGTGTATATATTTTATTCTCTTGTATATGTACTTTTTATTTATATCGTTTAGAAGGACGTCGAAGTTGACAAAAGAAGTGAATTTTCCTCCATGCAACAAAAGGAATCCTAACTCGAGTACGAAGTGGAGGTCGTTCGGAAATGAATTACAGAGAGAAATGTATACTCTCTTTTTTCTATCATTCGCAAAATATTCCTCATTTTATTTTCATTGTAGAATTCGCGTTAGATATCGTATTACAATGTTTTCGTTATTAATGTTATAGTATCGTTTATTTCTTAACGCCTATTTAATGAATTAATTATACTGTTATGTTTGTAATATTAATTATTTATGATCAATGTTTGAATATCATTTTTAAGCAAAGATTTTCAAATAGAAACAATGAAAAAAGTTTGAAGAAATTACAAGTATGATTTGTGTGTGTGTGTTTATGCGCACCAAATAATCAGAGGAGAAATCAAATGGAATGTGTTCGCGTAGCGAATGCGAACGCGTTAACTGGGCTAAGGCCAATACGTGAACTATTTGGCACAGTTCCAAAGACCTAAAGGTACCTACAAACAGGACCCTTTCCATTTCTTCGCGTGTTTCTAAGAATTATCTTAATCGATTTATATTTACGCGCCGAATTTAAATCGTACCTTTGCTAACAATAACTTATTAGCAAATCTTTTCGTATCGTTCAATATTCCAACACATTATCATTAAATTCGATTATGGGAGTTCATGAAAAGTTCAATTTATGATCCTTCCAATGGACTATACAAACTGGAAATTGTTACGATCGATTAATCGATTTATTCACCATTATCTCGATTAATAAATAGAGCTAAGCATTTGAATCGTTCACTTAAGTAATTTGCACGTTGAATTCCTTCAATCCCATTAATATTATACTTGATGTATCTATACGCAACGATCGATAGAGCAAACTCTAAAAAAAAAAAGAAAAAAAAGAAAACATTTACGTGTAGATAGAATAATTTTAAAGCTTTTAAATGATCTTAAGGAGTGAGACAAGGGTTAAAATATTTGCCACTTATTCTGAATTTGGTAGGTGTCCATTCTTAAAACGACACGATCCTCAATGCTTGCAATGAGGACTCGTTGAAGGGGTTGGTCGGAAGAGAGAAGGAAGAGAGAAGGAAGAGGGACGGAGGGGTGGTAGGAGGAGGAAATGCAGAGCGTGTAAGTAAAGAACCGGCCACGAAATTATTCAAGACAGATCGATATCTAGCAGCGCGCACCGCTCACGTTGATGCTCGGCTACGATTCACCTATCTTTCCATTCGAGGACGAACTTATTTTCCATATAACACACGCGAAAAATCTACGAACTTAACATCATTTTACCTTTCGTCAAGATGATGATAATAATAATCAATGATTAAGAAATCTTAGCTCTAAAACTCTTGTAATCTTTTTTACAAATTTCATTTTGCGTAAAATCATAAAGTTTAACCATAAAAAAAAATGATACAAAACTGAATCAATGTTAAATTTAACACGACACTGAATCACACAGTAAAATCAACGACACGGTTGAAAATAAAACTAATGCATCGTTCTGCAAACTGTAGGGAAACTTTTTTAATCTATAAAAAAAAATAATATAGTAAAAAATTGCGCAGATATGAAATATCGAATCTGTCTCGACAAAAAATCATGGTAAATTAAATTAACAACGTATAAAGCAACGCGTAAAGATTAGAATGATTAACCGATTAAAAAATGAATTAGAAAAAAAAAATATAAAAAAAATAGGATAAAAAAGAAAAAAAAAAGGATCACGATCAAAATCGAGAATAGATTGCGAAACGGAATAAAAGAGTATCGATCAAAAAATATAAAAGAGAAGGGGAGGAAATGACAATACTTACTTTAAAAATAGCCTGTAGAGTACGGCGCTGAAGGTCTGTGAAAACCAGCCGCGGTTTCTTGGGGGCGGGCTGTTGGTGTTCTGCCTGACTCGACATCTCGTCTTTCCTCTTGCATGCTGCAATTTCAAATATCCTTATAGACAAATTCGTTTGAAAACTTTCCTTAAAACAACTATCATTTCTACGAAATTTATTATATCAAACATCAAAGAAAACTTCGAATGATTGATCGAATGCTTTTCTTTCTCTCTCTCTCTCTCTCTCTCTCTCTCCCTCTCTCTCTCTTTTTCTCTCTTTCTTTCTTTCTTTTTCTATTATATAGAGGGTATCATTGCTGCAAATACAAAATTCAGTTTGTCTATATTTTCTTTTCTTTTTTTTTCATAATAAAATAATAAAGAAAGAGAGAGAGAGAGAGAGAGAGGGAGAGAAATTTAATTGAAATGCACACAAATTTAAAAGCTAGAAAAAGATTATAGTCTTTTCAACTCTTTGACGTTTTAATAATGAAATTTAATAAGGATCAATATCATAAAGATGTGAGAAAAAAACAAATGACACATTTTCGATAAGAAATATTTATATGAAATAATGTTTGCTTTGTCCAAATAATATTCAAATTTCAATGTTAATTCTTACTAATCTTTTTATATTTTCACGTCAAAGAGAGTGTGAAATGTGAATGAGAAAAAAAGTATATGTAACGTTTTGCTCGATGAAACCTTCAATGATACTTACTTCCGCGTTGTGGAATCTGTGCAGCTGAAAGCAAAAAAAAAACGTAAGTTAGTTCACTTAAGAAATCAGAAAGCCAACGACTGTTCGATGTATATATATATATATATACTCTCGCAAGTCGTCGTATTTTTATTTGTTCTGTGTTATGTCATCCGTTCATTAAAAATTTGGTTTCAAGCATTTTATTCAAAGAATAAAATAATGAAACACCCTTAACGAACGTATTTTACTTTTGATAAATGTATGGATACATAGAATATTGTAAGTATGTATGCATACGTAAACGCAAATGTGTAAGTATAATATTAATAGATAGATATATATGTAGATATGTATAATAAACACGTACACAAGTCAAATTGGAAAAAGGGGTAAACGAGTTGTTGCATACACGAATTCCAAAAACTTAAAGCTACTGGCTGGTAAACATGTCACTAAAAGGGGTGGTTACCAAACGAGAGGGTTGGGGTCTAAAGGGGGGTGGGGGGTTTCTTACGACGGTTGGCTAAACAAGGGGCGAGATATATATATATATATGTATGTATATATGTATGCATATGTATATTAATATAAATATATTTTGCGACAATGCAAGTGTGTTGTAAAAAGGGGGTTGCAGTTTCTGCTAGAAGCAAGCTTTCCTTGCGTTGTGTCGTCTCTTTCTATTTCTATTCGCCCTCTCTTTCTTCGCTTCAAGAGTGAGGGGGAATAAAGATCCCTTTTCAAGTTCCCTCTTCGCGTGCCACCGATGCGCAACGTGCGGTCACGCGTGTGTGTTTATGTGTTGCTTATAGACGTGCTTTTATATATTAATATATATATATATATATATACGTATATTATGTAGTTCTGATATTGCTTGTGAAAAGTGCTTTTGTTCGACATTTGTTATTTTGTAAATGTTGTTATAGTTCTAGTAAAGTATTTGTTATTGGTATATTGTTCGTAAAATAGAAAAATGTTTTTTTCGTTTTGAACACACCGCATACCCTCTCAGAGATGTTTATACATTCTTCTACATACATGCATACGTTGGAACATAAACGCATATGATATTTTTTATTAGTCAATTGTATCAAAATTATTCATTAAATCACATTTGAAATATTTCTTGGATATATTTCCTTGGGCAAATCAACACAAGGTACATTTTCTTTTAAACAAATATATGTATACGCATTATTAACTCGATCGAATTTTTCAGTTTGTCAAAGACGCGTGTATCCGTATACTTGTCGCGTTCTTCTTCGTCTTCTTCTTCTTCTTCTTCTTCTTCTTCTTTTATTTTTTCCCAATTTCCCATGTACGTCGATCTGCGTTCGAAAATGGAACAAGGCACCGATGACTTCGCATGTCGCTGAGAGAGCAAGAGAGAGAGTAAAGGTCTCTCGTTTTAAAAAATACAAAAAAGTCGCGAGAGTGAGAAAAAGAAAGAGAGAGAAAGAGCAGACGCGAAAGGCAATCGTATGCCATTAGCAAACGGACGATAACGAATGAAAGGAGCGTCGGAAAAAAATGGCACGAACTATGAGAACGAATGGAGGACGGG